AAGGAAGCGCCTCCAGTGCTTTGGGGGTTAGAGGCAAACTGGCAACGAGAATAATGATGCTGTAGAACGTCCCTTATTCCCCACTAGTGGCCCCCTGCCTAGGGAAATAGTTTTTCCTAATAACCCACCTCGACCTCCCCCCATGTAACTTGAAAGCCTTGACCCCTGGCAGGGCTGGGAGTTGAACTGGCTCCTGTGGTTAAAGCACAGGGCCAGAAGGGTCCTTGAGAGGCTAGTTACTCGCCTCCCTTGTGAGGCAGACAAGTCTCCAAACCAGGGTTACAGGCCCCTGGGTGCGGCAGGGGCTCCCAGATGCTTTGTTGAGCTGTGTCCCCATTGGCTCCAGTTCACAGTTTCCCACACTGGAGGAGTGTCACTACCCACAACTGGAGCCCTGTGCTTGGCCACACTTCATCCTGTTGATCCAGATCAGTTATGAATTCTATTGCTGTCGCCAGAGCACTTGCAACCCCACACACTTAGGCTACTTCTACACTGGCATGATTTTCTGGAAATGCTTTTAACGGAAAAGTTTTCCGTTAAAAGCATTTTCGGAAACGAGCGTCTAGATGGGCAGGGACGCTTTTCCACAAAAGCACTTTTTGCAGAAAAGCGTCTGTGCCAATCTAGACGCGCTTTTCCACAAAAAAGCCCCGATCGCCATTTTTGCGATTGGGGCTTTTTTGCAGAAAACAAATCTGAGCTGTCTACACTGGCCCTCTTGTGCAAAAGTTTTGCGCAAAAGGACTTTTGCCCGAACGGGAGCAGCATGGTATTTCCGCAAGCAGCACTGATTTCAGACAGTAGGAAGTCAGCGCTTATGCGGAAATTCAAGTGCCCAGTGTAAACAGCTGGCAAGTTTTTCTGGAAAAGTGGCTGATTTTCCAGAAAAACTGGCCAGTCTAGACACCGCCTTAGAGGGGGCTTTGCTAACGTTATGCTATTAAGCTAACGAAACCAAACCTATAGCTGAGCCCCCCAGGACCCCACTGAATAGGCCAGACAAGACTTCAACACTGGTTGCTGTGGGAAAGGAACAGGAGGAGCTTTCTGTGAGAATGAGCACAATCTTTGTCTTCACCCCTCTATTAAGGAAGGGAAGATGTCTACAAAAACAGTCCCCCCAGATTGCCACAAGATGGCAGCACCACACAGCAAGGCTGCTGGGGCGAGGGTTGGAGTTCTCCAGGAATCACACATCACAGGGGAGTGTAGATGGGGCATGGGGGGGGTCATGTGTCCGCCCCCCAGCGTTTGCCTGGAGAGACACGATTCCTCCGCACAGCAGAGGCTGGGGGCTGGCTGCGCCACCAGCTTCTCCCTTCCTCACACAGGCCTGTGCTCGGCAAAACAGCCTGGACCTTCCCCCGGGTGTGCAGGGGACTTGGCAGTGGGATGCTCGTTCTCCTGCCATGCTGTGGACTGGACAGTGCTCACGCCTGCTCTCAGCAGCAGCCACAGCACTTCCCCTGCCTGGTACAGAAACTGCCTGCTTCTGCCCCCTGCCCCTAGGTTTGTCATTAGCACTGTCAGAAGACACTGGGCCTACAGACCTGTTTCATTGCATGGGGCAGATTCCGGCCACAGAACAAAAGGAGGAAGGGAACAGCAACGGGATACGGAAGCTTTTTCCATGGCGCTTCTGCATGCAGCTACCGTTTCACACTAGCTAAGCCGTGGTCTGCCTGAGCTACAACAGCGTTTGCCCTGCCGTGTGCAGCTGTGCTGATCGGGAGGATGAATCCCGCCAGCCGACGCCGCACAGGCCCCCCACCTGCGACTAGCTGGGGAACAGCACCATGGCCAGAACTCACAAACAGCATGTTGATCAGGGAGAACCCGTGGGCCTACTGCTCGTCTGGCAACCAGGCCTCATTCAGACAAGTTATTTATTTGGGCGTCCAGCAGTGACCCGTTGAGCTGGGACAGAGCGGATATTCCTTATAAAGACTAAGGTGGAGGGATAGCTCAGTGGTTTGAGCATTAGCCTGCAAAACCCAGGCTTGTGAGCTCAATCCCTGAGGGGGCGATTTGGGGCAAATCTGTCAGGGATGGTACTTAGTCCTGTTGTAAGGGCAGGGGACTGGACTCGGTGACCTCTCAAGTCCCTTCCCATTCTAGGAGATAGGTTGTCTCCATTCATTTTCGATATAGATCTCGTGAGCACAACCAGGCAGAATTCAGATGGCTCTGGGAAGCCTTTTGGCATGTTTACACGATGATGAGCATGCCCGCGTGCCAGACAGCTGTCGGGAAGTATTAACGAGATGCCCCCTGCCCATAATTGGCATCCTTTTCTGGAGCTAGATGGCAAAGTGCCAGCTCGTGACTGTAGTGGGGGGTGACATGCATGTCATGGGATACCTCTGCAGAACACAGGAGGTAAAGCAGCCCAGTTCTGTGGCTCAGAGGTGTATGGACCAGGCCCTAGAGGACAAAGCCACGTAAGTTATGATGCAAGACAGAGCTGCTCCTCCAAAACCTGTTAGACAGGCGGCCAGGCTGCACCTCTCCAAGTAGTAACAGTGCCCAGCGCGACGCCCCCGCCCGCTTAGAGAGAAATGTGCTTTTGTGCCAGGATTTATTTACATAGTTTACAGTGTCATGTGCGACTGTAGTAAAGTGCATTGTTTAAAAAGAAATTGCCTCAGGTTCTTGGGTCCAGACATCTGTCTCGTGGTGGCGGTGGCTGCAGCTACGTGCTACTCCTCTGGGCCGGACGTTTTTCAGGCAACACTTGCAAGTCAAAGCCAGAATGGAGATAGCGGTAGATCTCCTCAGCCTTCTGCAGACTCACTCGGGCACAGGTGGCGATGGCCCTCGGAGAGCTGTAAAAGGCAGGAACCAACAGAGGGCACTTCAGATGCTGCTCTTTGGGATCCAGCGCACACGAGGGGAAATGCCAAATGGGACAAACAACGGGGGCCTGTTGACTCTGCTACAGGTATCTGATGTAAGCCAGGCACCAGAGATGCCAGGGAACCTTCCCTAGCATTCTCTCACGAGGAATTGTGAGAACTCCCCCATAGCAGACACACAGGGAGGGGAGAGCCAAAGCAGGGCTGAGGAAGGGGGGTTGGGTCACAACCAGAGCGAGGCCGATTAGGAGGAAGGGAAGATTAGCAGGGAGCCTGGAGAGATGCTGCAGGAGACACCTGGAGGTCACGAAAAGGGAACACACCGAGGTGATGATCATGCCCAAGTGCAGTGATGAGATGGCTCCATTCAGCCGCTCTAGCTGATCCCTGCACTGGCAAGAGATCCTGTGGGAGAGGGCCAAGGAGGCAGCATGGAAAACAGGGATGTGAAAGGATCAGCAGGTACGGTGGCCTAAAGGAAACTTCTGCCCAATTCATTTTCCCCTTTGACATGAATCCTGAGGCATTTACAGCGCAGTCCACCCGCCCTTACCTGTTAGCCATCTTCTTCACAGACTCAAAGCCATGGCACATGTGCAGGGCAGCTAAGTGGCTGATGTTGGGAATACTCAGATAGAACCGGAGAGCTGCTTCTTTGGCCCCTCTCACTTCTGTTGGCACTTGAATAGCAACGTTCTTCCTCTGCTCCACCATAGCCAGATCTTTCAACAAGCTGGCCGATTCCTCTTGGCAAGAGCTGAAAAGGATGCGGATTCCAGCCCGGATGAAGGCGGCCAGCAGGCCATCATAGTACTTAGTCCTTTGGAGCAATCTCGAAGTCTCTCCTGCATAGTCAGAAGAGAAGAGTTCAGAATCAGCGTCAGAGGCAAGTCGGCAGCTGTACCAAATACAAGAGCTGAAAGGGAAAACCAGAGGAGGAGCCGGGGCTGGCTGTGAAGAAGGAAGAGCCAAAGATGAGGGATTCTACAGGACCACGAGACCAGGTGCTGGACCAGGAAGTGGTTAGAGAAGAAGAGCCCATGATGAGCAGCACAGCTGGAGTAATGAGAAGGAAGGGGGGGAAACGGGCTGAGGGGGAGGGGCAGGACGTGCACCAGCAGCAGGCTAGAGAAGCACCTTCGCGTGTCAGGCCATCCATCCCCTCCGAGTCGATGTGCAGAGCTTGCACCTTCAGGCCCAATCCCAGTCCTCTGCCTGGCAGGGGAGACAGGCCGAAGCATCCGCCTCGTATCAAATGAGGCAAATCAATTCCTCCGGCTGCTGTGGAAGGCCTCCTATGCCCTCGCCGACGCCAAAGCAAGGCCACTGTCTCCGGGATGGGTGAGACACTAAACGTCTATCGGCAGCACCCGGCCATGCTGATGGATGAGATGCCTTCTCTATACTAAGCGCTTTCCTTTAGAAAGGTCCTGGAGGCTTGTTGTGTCTGACACGCGGTTACAATGTGCCGGTGTGAAGGGTCGCTGGCGTTTATGGCACCCCAACAAATCTTTTCAGCTAAACAAATACAAGGTGGTAAATTCCCATCATCCCCTGGGCAAACCTGGCTTTTGGCTGCTTCAGGGACTAGCGTTACCAGGAATAAACAGAGGGATCACTACGGGTAACGCTGCTAAACTCTACATCCATTTACAAACCCTTTCAGTACCCAGCAGCATCGCTCAGGCTGTAGCAATGGGTTTCTGGCTGTATTTCCATAGGACCTTGCATAGAATCTAAAACTAACGGTCTTTACCCTTCCCGATTCCTGCAACATACAAAGCCAGCACAGGCATTACAATTGCGCCTGCCACAGCAGCCGTAGCTAACCTGCTTTAACCCTGTCCTTCTCCACAATCACGCAGATCCTCTCGAACATGCTCTGCAGCTGCTGAATCCGTTGTATAACTTTGGTCCTGTTCAGACTGTTCAGCAGTTCTGACTGGGTTCTCCTCTCCACTGCCATGCGGGTGCTCACAATGTAGTCACAGCCGCCGAGCGAGCATACCTGCACCTTCACGCCATGCTCCGCTTTTAGGCAGGAAATTATTTCTGAGCCGGAGGAGATCTCACGACTGTCGACCAGAATGCACAAGGAGGCGTTTCTCTCCGGGCCAGAGCACCGTGGATTTGAAGCGTCTGCACAAAGGTTATTTGAAGAGCCTTCTACCTGCAAGCGTGAGGTGCACATGACACCGTTTGTAACAGCGACAGCGCACAGAGAGGGGATTTAAATCTAAGGCCTTAGCAGGCCAGGATGAGTGTGAAACAAAGCACGATGCTGCTCTCACAAATCATTCCGCTGCAATTGTAATGAGAAATCCACACTGATCTCATTCCTAACTTCTCTGTACTGCAGAGTTCAGGCCTCTTTCCAACCTGCCTGCCTAGGGCAAGGCTCCCAGATCTGTACTCGGGTACCAGAGATGGGGGCTGAACTTGCAAGTAACTAGCACTCGTCAGTGCTAGTGAAACCATGGGAGCTGCAGACGGCTCAGCACCTTTGGAAACCAGGCCACCTTTACTTGGACACTTACATATGGATTTAGGAGCCAAACGTTAGCCCACCAAGAGTGTGATTTTGGACCTTCTACTAGAATTATAAATTCAGGAATGAGACCAGAGCCCTGATGATCTGACCCCAAATTATCTGAAGCCCCTCCCCCGCCCCTTACCAGAAATGTGGTCATGCCCCTCAACAACCGTTAATGAAAATTTGGTCCGTCCCCCCCATCTTGACATTGCTAATCCAAAGTGAACTGTGCGCAGGAAAGGGCCCCTCGGAGAGGGGGAAGGGGACGTGGACTTCCCCAGACGACAATGCACCGTCCCGTCAACTGTCTCTAATGGCTCCTGATTCCCAGCCATTGGCTACTGAGAGCAGATCTGGCCCAGGCTGCACATTCCGGGGAAGCACACTGCTGGTCGTATGCCTTTGGATTAATACCTACCTGGAGTCTGGCCTGAAAATCCTCATCCCCTGGCAGTGCAGCAACAGCCAGCGATGGCCGCCTGCCAGTGCCCCTCCCTTCTGGCTGGAAGTCCAGCACGTCGGACACTGAAGCCTTCAGGTTAAGGAGTGTCTGCCCCTTGCCCTGCAGGGGCTGAGGAACAGGGCTGTTTCCACCAGGAGCTTTGGGCTCCCCAGGAGAGTCGGAAAGCACGGACGTGGGTGAGTGAGCACGGCTGTGGTCTGTCCTGGGAGAGGCGTTTTTTATCAGCCTCTGGTTACTGACATTTGTTTCTTCCCCACTTGAATCGTCGAGAACAACAATTCGGGATCTTTTCTTGGTTAAAGGAGCCGCACAATTTTGTTGCATCTTGGCCTGATGGAGAGCTACTCTGCGGCGAGTGCAGTACTGTTTTCTCCCGCTGGCGGAGCGCTCATCCTGTACCAGGTCAAAACGGACAGACACTTCCTCTTCTTCACTAGAACCACTTTGCCTGGGACTTCCCTCTTCCGCCTCTTCCACACAGAAGCTGTCTGCCAGGTAAGCCTCGTCTTGCTCAGGGATCTAGAAGGAAGAACACGATCACTTTGGCCTGGCCATCACGTCAGTGGGGTGCCGATTTATCCCCGTGGGTCCCAACTGCTGAATGCAAACCCGGTCCCTGAGTTCTGAGCTACCTCTTGGGCCCCACCCTACCGTGACCAGACGTGTGGGGTTCCCGGAGAGTATGTGGGAAACGTGCAAGTGCAGTGCAAACCCATCATTTGTCACTAGAAATATTTAGAGAGAATTGGACTGTACCGAACGCAGAAAGTAGTGAGAGTTACTGGCTACTAGTTCTACGACGGCCTTGTAAGCAGGCAGCCTTTGTTTCAGGGTTCAGTGTGTCCCAGAGCTAAACATTTCAGATAAAAAAAAAAGTACTTTCATTCATTCTAAAACCGCCAGCTTGTACCCCAAAGACAAAATTCTACATTTTGATATGAAACAATGCTGGCGAGACACAGCTCTCACTCTACCACATGTAAATGCAAATTCCACACAATATATGCAAAACTGCTGCCACTGGGCCGAACCAAACATTTAACAATCACGAGACAGGCACTTTGCTAGATGTATTCTCAGAAATGTTATCTACTCTGCACAACCCATCTCAGGGCACAAAGATGTGGGAAATGAAATTCCAGAACACAGGGAAGCTGGGTACAGAGGCCTCGCCGTTTGCAGATTCAGAAAGAAGCAGCCGCGGCACAGATAGAGCAGTGTGTCGTCGTGTCTGTTGTACATGCCCTGTGGAATTTATCTGCAAGCAAGTATAGGAGACAAGCTCAACGGCCATGCCAGCTTGAGCTCTCAGCTGGAAATAGCAAAGAAGTTAAGATTTCCCCCATAAAACCAGCGTTGTTGTCCAATATAGATGCTCAGCTACCAGTGACGAGGGCATGGCAAGATCCGACAGAGAATACAGAGGCCCCACAGGAAGCAATGCAGTTGTCCATTTTGCATTGTTCAATACATGAGAGAGGACTGAATATTGAGACCCAAGCCATTTACCTGTAAATTCAGCAGTGGCCTCTCTGGGAGTAGTAAAGGGAGTAGTATAAACTGATGGATGAGCGTTCTTCCATCAGCGTACGCATCCTGGTCTCTCTTATAAGGAGCTAGCAGACTTACCCGGCGCTGCCTAGGTCTGGCCGGGGGAGGAAGGGGGGTAGGAGAAGGGAAGGGAGTGGGAGGTGGAGGGCCTGGCCTGGTGATTGGGAGCAGGGAGGCTACATAGGCCTCCCCCGGCAGCACTCCCCAGGCTGAGAGGCCTCACAGGCTGGCCTGCAGTGGCCATCCCAGTGGTGCAGATGGGGACGGGGCGGTCTGCCAGTGGGACCTGTGGAGGGTGGCTGGGGCTGGGCTGGCCAGCCCGTGGTGCTCTGGAGGGAGGGGACCAGAGGGGTGTGGGAGTGGGAGGGGGAGGGGGGAGTTAGGCAGGGAGGCTACATACCAGTGGCAGGCAAAATGGCAGCGCCCTATCCCCACTCCATCGGTGGTGTGGCTGCTCCTAGTGGTCACTCGGTAGGACCGCTCTCCCCTGTGCTTGCTGCCCCCAGGTGAGAATATGAGGATTATGTCTCTCTCCCTCTCCCCCCTTCCCTTTCCATGTTATGGAAAACTAACAAATTCCAGGCACAGCCTGTTTTCCTGGCACAACCAAACCCTGACCCGCGTTTGAGTTAGGATGAGGGAAGCTGCTCACCAAACCTGGCGGTCCTAGCGCTTACCCCTTACGAGGAATTCCTGAACAAACGGACTCAGAGACAGACTCACAGAACTTGTTATATTTAATCTTAAAGGAAGATTAAATATAAACAGCACCTTGAATACATTATATTTCACAAGGAAAGCAGAGTCACTTCACTTCATACCTGAGAGAAAACTGCCATGCTATTGAATCCTTTGTGCACCATTTTATACCTGTTGCCGACTGCGGGGCTACGGACAGATTTTAGGTAAACTCCTTCCATCTCAGAATCTGAATAAAAATTATGAAAACAGACAGACAGACAGACAGACAGACAGACAGACAGACAGACACATATTTTATTAAGGGGTTAATTACACAATTGTTTTCCACCAACAAAATAAACATTTCCATAAAAGGACTTTAAAAAACAAGTGGTCCTGTAGCACTTTAGGGTTCGTCCACACAGCAGGGCTAAAGTCGAATTAAGCTACACAACTTCAGCTACATCAACTGCGTAGCTGAAGTCAAAACAGCTTAATTTGGCTTTGGCACAGTGTACACAGCAGGAGGTTGAAAGAAGAACACTCTTCCTTCGACTTCCCTTACTCCTCGTGAAATGAGGGTTACAGGAGTTGGCGTAAGAAGTCCTCCAGCTCAAAATAATGCCCTGTTGTGTAGACGCGCTCTTTGTTATTTTGGAACAACATCAGGCACCACTTGCCTCTTGCTCCACTCATCTGAAGAAGTGGGCTGTGCCCATGAAATGATACTATGTGTATTTTTTGGTTAGTCTCGAAGATAAAACGAGGGGTCTTGTAGCAAGGGTTAAGTTACTGACTAACACGGCTTCCCCTCTGAGGCATTTCCATAAAGGAATCGCCCAAGGTAAAATTCCATACCAAAGCAGGCTCTTCACATTTTTTTGCCTTGATAAAGACTCAAGATTCTCCCACAAAATCCCCCACAGCTGGCGATCTGCCTCGCTCCCACAGTCATGAGAGACCCAGCAACTAGATGAAAGGTGATACAGGGAGCCCACTAGGGCTACCCCCCCAGGCAGCAAACTGGAGCTATTCTTCCAGCTCCCATGGCAGGACAGCTCCCCGTGCCGAGGTCAGATGCGTATGAGTCCAGCCCTTCCAGAGCACTGGTGCCTAGCAAGTAAATGGGGGTGGGGGGAGGAAGAAGAGCACATGGAACACTGCCTCAGCTAAAATCCCTCAACCCCACACCCCTTTCCCTGCTGCTAGAAAATCTCCCCCTCTGCCTCTCCAACATGGCGTCTTTCTGACCCTCCCCTTTCCCAGGCCTCCCATACACCAGCCGGACAACATGCCTCTCCCCCTCTCTACACATGCTGCTTTCACTGCACGGAGATATTTGGCCTTTTATGCAATAGGTTTCTGGATCAAATGTGACTAATGGTTACCTGTGAGATCAGATCTCCAAGAGAAAAAACAAATACAAATCCCAATGTTTTCATAGAAGGGACACGACTTCCCTCATTTACCATTTAAAACCTCTGTGAACTGGGTCTCATCGTTGAGGAATTGATTGAGTGAGGAATGTAGCTCGTTCTCTGAATCACTCTCATCCGATGAAATA